ACTAAAGCGGCCAGGGCCTAGATTTTCGAAACGTTTGTAGATCCAAAACTTCTATACTTTGATCGTAGCCAATGTGTTAAGAATGGGCATATGAAGGTCGTGGGGCTACGAATGTTTCGAAAATTTAGGTCCAGGATGTCAGACTTAATCCTTTTGATCTACGCTCATGATGTCAATCACTGGATAGTCTTTCTGACAGCCGTAACTTCACTGATCACTGCGTTAAACAACGAACAAACTCCGTTCCAAATTTCATTCATGCGGATTAAAATAACATTCACTCATTTACTCGCTAACATCGTCATCTGAACCATTTTCTCTTGAGTAGTAGCTTCATTATCTAACTTATGTCATACTACTGTTTTAATCGTCAGTGAAACTAGCCAATTTAACTGACCAATGCTGTTTCAGTTATAGAAAGTAGTCGTCTTTTGTGTTTCATCTGTCGTATGTCTTCTTCATATCCGGTAGGGGCGGTGGGGTAGCCTAGTGGTTAAGGCGTTGGCTCGTCACGCCGAAGACCCGGGTTCGATTCCCTACATGGGCACAATGTGTGAAGCCCATTTCTTGTGTCCCCCGCCGTGATATTGCTGGAATATTGCTAAAAGCGGCGTAAAACTAAAACTCAGTCAGTCAGCCTCCGGTAATGAACTAATTTGATCTCACTCATGTATACTTATTTAATGAGATATTTCATACCATAGTCTATCTCCTCTCATCGTTGATTTCATGTGTGTGAGCGTGACTGTCTGTCCTGACTAATGAAGAGTTTTAATGCACTACCCCGCTTAGATACCATGATGCATTTGGACATGGAAATCAGTCGCAAATCATGATCACACAAAGAGTACCGGCTCCGAGCTGATCCACACGGCGTTCGTAGCTAAACGTCATTCGTAAGCTGGGACAAACTATACAGTTACGGTAGTTCGTAACATTACGAACGGTTTGTGGATTGGCACCCAGGCTTGGTTTTGTCCCCTTAATACTGAGCGCAAATACGGCACCAACAAATGCCCTTTTAACGTCCTTCAGTATGACTAGGAATCGAGCTACATCACCATCATCATCATCATCATCATCATCACGGTAAATAGATCAGTGTGCACTAGAATTTCATTCTCAATTCCCCGGGGTGTACAGGAAAGATAATAGAACATAAGCTGTAGTGTGGAGATTGTTCGCGTGTCTGGGAACGATATACGTATTTTACTGGCGCTTCAGGATGTTTTAATATCGGGCTTGTCCACAACCAGAGCTACAGATAACGTTTTGGGTCATTGAGTGATGTACTCGCTTGTGTTCATCTCAGTTGGGTATCCTAATTTTTCTTGGAGAAACCAAATGAATTGTACCCACCTCACTCAAACTCAGTTGGGTATTTTGCCATTTCCCATTTACTGTTAAAATATAATGAAGTTCAAATTTTGTTTGAGGTGTTTGTTAATTATGTTTGATCTCTAATATGAGAAAACATAAGAAAGACTGCAAGTTGCCATGTTCATATGCTGAAATAGAACCTCACAATATACCTCAGTTATTTTATCCATTTTTGTGTGTACGCTTGTAAGATCAAATTCATTGAGTATTTACAAAACGTCAAGCGTACTTGTACGCAATCACTTAATAGGAATTGAGTTTTCAAATAATTATTTGCGTAATTTACGCAGATACGCAGCTTGTCTGTACCTCTGTCACAACTATGAAATACCGAACTGTAAGACGCAAATGACCCCGTGGCCTGATGACCTTAAGCCTGTGTATGATTGATTCGTATAATTTAATTTAGTGTATGTCTCCATAATGATTAATCATTTCAATAAGACAACCAGATGTTTCCCTATCTTTAATAACAAAAATAAAAGTGACAAACCATTTTCAATAAACATTAAAAGAAAATATGCATGAACAAAACCAGTCAACTTTTTTATTCCGCTTGATGATACATGTCGCTAGCGAAAAGGAAAGATGAACGTACCCTTCCCCTCCCATCAACAACACATGCACCGCCAAGTCAACTGTTCGCAGAAACCAACTCGGGGACATATGGTACAAGTCGAGAAAGACTTACATTGGACATCATTTGTCTTTGATTCGAAAAATACGATAATGATAACATTACCACCTAAAAAGAGCAAAAAGAGAAAACGAAAACTTTAGAAACTTCCCTTAGTGTGGGTTGAATGTCAAACAACTACTCCGATTACATTCGTACAATGAGGTGAGGTGAGGTGAAATTGGGTTTATCGTCGTGCTTGAGAATATTTCGCTCATATGACGACGTGCATGTATATGTATGTGGTATGTGCGGCTGCTTGTACTAGCCCAGACTTAAGCTGGTTTTATAGTGCTAGCCCACTGAGATACCATGCCGCAGTGAAGCATGAATAACCCACTCAGACACATTATACTGACTCCGAGCCGACCAGTCCTTGTTGTACCCATTAATGCCGAGCGCCAGGCAGGGACCAACAAGTACCATATTTTAACGTCTTTTGGTATGACGCGGTCGGGGATCGAACCCGCGACCTTCCGCTCTCCGGGCGGACGCTCTAACCACTACACCACGGAGGCGGTCTCGCACAATGAACCATCAATTTGTAAGCAATTATATGCGTCCGACGTCAGATTTTCAGGTCCTTTATTCTATTTGGTTGAAGGGTGGTGGAATAGCCCCGCCGTGATATTGCTGGAATGTCGCTAAAAGCGGCCTAAAACTAAACTCACTCACTCACAATTCGGCGGTGTTTATTGCTGCCTTATGACGAGCACGTTATGCCAGGCACGTAGCAAGCCATTTTTGTCGTGTAAACCTAATAGGTTGCAAAGCTTAGTAGCTTAGATAGTATTTGAGGTACCTCAGCGATGGTAATTTGTCATAAACATGCATCAGTAAGAGATATGTCACTACAGCAACAAACTATGTCATTACAAGTTTTCTGAAGAATAAAAACTCAATTCCTCGTTACCTAAAGAGCACAAACATGGAACACAACTGCCACTTTGATGTGATCGTGGGCGGAAATGCACTTCAAAGAACGTTTGACGTTTTACTTTCGTTTTGATCTGGTTGTTTTATAGTTTAAACTATGACAAAATATGGTTTCTGTTATTTGTTTATGATTGTTCTTTCCTTTCCATAAAATCAAGTAAATGTCATGCTTACTATTTCATAGCACTGAAGGGCGGGGTAAGAATGCATATTGCCAAGGTAACTATTTCAGGTGTGCCTTCGGATTCCGTTGTGTTCTTCTCTCGTGATTTTCATTTGGCCTCACGTCACAGTTACCTCCCTTTGATCCGGGAGGCGAAATGGAAAAAGGAAAGGAAAACGTTCTCTGTTCGAATGGGATGCTCGGCCTTTGCCATCGTTCCGTGATAAATACAAGCGAACATAATAATATATCCACTCGTTGTTAAGATTATGTTTATGATTGTTCTTTCCTTTCCATAAAATCAAGTAAATGTCATGCTTACTATTTCATAGCACTGAAGGGCGGGGGTAAGAATGCTTATTGCCAAGGTAACTATTTCAGGTGTGCCTTCGGATTCCGTTGTGTTCTTCTCTCGTGATTTTCATTTGGCCTCACGTCACAGTTACCTCCCTTTGATCCGGGAGGCGAAATGGAAAAAGGAAAGGAAAACGTTCTCTGTTCGAATGGGATGCTCGGCCTTTGCCAGTGTTTCAGGGTGATTTGGTTTAGCTGAAATGAAACATCAGACATTGTTTTTATCCAGTATCTGTTCGTGGTATTAGCTCCACCTCATGATTTGACCCCAGGTTCAAAGACATGGTGTGTGCTCAGGTTCGAACCTTCCGTTGATCGTTGTTGACAGTGGATACTGCAAAATTTAGATGAGTGAGTGAGTGAGTGAGTTTAGTTTTACGCCGCTCTCAGTAATATTCCAGCTATATGGCGGCGGTCTGTAAATAATTGAGTCTGGACCAGACAATCCAGTTATCAACAGCATGAGCATCGATCTGCGCAATTGGGAATTGATGACATGTGTCAACCAAGCCAGCGAGCCTGACCACCCGATTCCGTTAGTGGCCTCTTACGATAAGCATGGTGGACCCAGGCCGATTGTTATCAGTGTAAGTGACGAATGGCACGTTGGTCAGCAATAAGCCGAACAGACATCAGATAATGTGTTCAACGAAGGAACGAAATTGTTCTTCGAACCACTGAGGTCATTTCTCCGGACATACTACTGTACATGTTTCAAAGCCCCGTTCAATGAAAACAAATATCTGCATCGAATGCATAGACTTATTTACATGTCATATTAAAGGAATATGGCATGTGAATAATTATATGCATTTATCCCATCTTTAACTAGCAAGCATATGACCCATGTGGACTGTGGGCAAGAATTGACACCCCCCCTCCCCCTCCTTCCCCAACCCAGAAAAGCAGAGTGCCGCGTTACACAATCTGACAGTAAAAGACAAAAATCAATATTGTTACACAATTTCAAAGTAAAAAACAAAAATCAATATTGGAAATAAAAAAAATAGCGTTATTATTTAAGCTAGTGATTTAAGTCTGTTATCTGGGTATACGGAGTTTATTTTATTGACTAATATACCTTTCTATAATGATACAACCTCACAACTTCATTAATTAGTGGCCGTGTACACACAAATTACACACATATACACACACACGTTTGATGGCGATATATATCGTTCCGTGATAAATACAAGCGAACATAATAATATATCCACTCCTTGCTAAGATATTGCTGGAATAATGCCAAAAGCGGCCTAAAAACATACTCACTCACGCAGAGTATCCCGGGATCATTCGTGACCAACTCGTGTTATTCCGGGACAAGCCGAATAGCGAGGTTACGGAAAGGGGCGAGTGGTGACGATTGTCCCGGGATGAGAGTATTAAAAGTTCAGTTCTGTCCCGCCCTTTCTTCATTGACAACACCCGTTTCCCATCCCAGTAACCCTAAACCACCATTTGTCTGGTCTAGACTAGACCCATAGCTGGACTATTAGTATCAAACAGAAAAGCCAACCAACCAGCTTAACCACGTTCCTGAGTGACTATATACACCGCGTGAAAGGAAACGATACCATAATGCAGCGCTATACACGAAGCATACCCCATACAGCATTTGCAGTCATCTGGGTAATACTATATAATCAGAGGTAGCTGTGGAAACACCTGGGCAAACCTATCTGTAGGAGCGGCCCGTATGAGCTGTGTACGTTCCTCACACAGGTAGCTACTGACTACATGACTACTGAGGATTGTCGGTAATCACGTATTTCGTTGGACGTGGAGGGGGATAACGTGGATTTAAGTAAGTAAACATTCATTTAATCCTTGTGTGTGTGTGTGTGTGTGAGAGAGAGAGAGAGAGAGGGAGAGAGAGAGAGCGGATGGGAGGGGGGAGGGTGAGAGAGATAGAGAGGGGAGGAGGATTTCCAACACTGACACTGTCATTTACGTTTTTTACTGTCACTCACTGACAAGAACTCGCCATTTTACTGACACTGTCACTAGACATCGGCTCGTTATTCTAGCGTCTTCCATGCTCTATAATTTATGTTTTATGTTTGTCGTGTATATTTGTCTCAATATATTGAAATATGTAGTGTACCCTAATTGTATTTTCTACACCATGTGGAAAGGCATTGATATAAAGCCTCAGACTTGTTTGCCAATCCACTCCATTTCGTTCATATATTATATGCACATGCTCTGTTGAATAATGAATAGCGTTGCAATCAACACTCGACATGGTCCACTGCGAATGTGTAAAATTCGAATTAACATTCCGATAAGATGATGAATGTTCTTAAAATTTACTTTTTAACACGATGAACGTATTGCGACAACTTCCACCACGATATAGTTAAAAGAAAACAAACTATTTGTCACTAAAATGCCAGAAACCATGTGTTCCCGTCACACCCTCTCCCAAACACGGCCTCCATCACCGTTACAGATAGAAACATGTCTTGATGACGTAGCAGAAAACCACCCAAAATAACACTGTTTGTAGTTATGTCTGTCAGATACGAAGCGAGGTCCACCACAACAGCAATTGACCCCAATACCGTGGGCATCTACTGTGGACGTTCTGTTTATGGGGTGTGGGGTAGGTAGTTGGTGGGTACAATAGCCCCTGTCACGACCTAGTTTCATGGATGATAACACAGTGTTGCGCTCCTGACATGTTCAGCTTCGTTCACGCTCAGGCAGACTCTGAAAGAATGTTTGCTCGTTTTGTCATCACTTTGCCACAAGGCCACCAAGGATTAACATGGATTAGTGTTAGCAATGTTTATACAAGCACAGGGGTGGTGTCAAAATCCCACTAATTGGTGAACGTATTTCATTTTGCAATTAGTGTTATGACCTGAGATATGTTGCTTCATTGCCAAATGGCAGCCTCCAAGTACAGACAATTAAATCAACGCCTCCAACGGGAAGATTCTCTTCTGGCTGGTGTGAAAACTCCAATTTAGTATACAGACTCTGTGTCCCATCTTGTACGCATGTGAATTGATATATACGTGAATCAGTAAATGTGTTAATAAATTGAAATATTATTAAATCTTAAACAGTAATATTATAGCTGTCTTTATGTTTTGAACATATATTGATACTGGATGAAAAGGCATGTAACTTGATATTAGTGGGATTCGGTTAATGTTGTGGACCAACTTGATATTATGGGTGATTCGGTTAATGTTGTGGATATTTGCATAAAGTGTTGAGATCAACCAACCCTGGTGACTTCCATAGTAATGCCAATTATATAGCTTGACCGCATCACACAGTGTGAACAATAGATGGTGGCAAAGTCGCGAGAGAAGATCCCGTTTGGTCACACTCACAGATAAGATACACAGCTTACATATTCTTTCCTCTGATGAATAGAAGCTAACGTTTCATTTGGTAGGTGTGCAACATTAGGAAAATATATTCCCTGGATAAGAAGTTCGACCTGTTTCTGGAGAGCCCATCTTTTTGTTCTTTTATGGCATGACGGTGCATTGTGGGGTTTGAGCAATACATTGGATAAGATGTAAGGCATTCCCTATGACAACATGAACAAGTAATAAAAAAATGTACGATCATAATCACCCTGACCAAGAGGGAACAGTCTGTCACAGAAGTGAAGAGAACGCAGCTTGAGGGCCATCCACGAGAGGTGCTTATAATTTATATGTGTAGATGTACGCAAAGAGAAGACAGTACAAAATGTAAATAAAGAGAGTCCCACACCCAACGCTTATTCGTTCACTGCAAAATTTTGGCCGGTATACAAAATGTAAATAGAGTCCCAGCACTCCTTGCGTCCTTTTTGGTATGTTCCAATGTCTAATTAACTAATTAATAGCTAAGATCACAATGTTCATTCGTCGACTGCATTTTACTACTCTGAAATTAGAAATTCGACTAATTGGTATACGACCTTTACTATTTGATAACTATTTGAAATAATGCAAGTTCAAAAGGCGTATGCTACATACTTTTAAAGGAAAAGCCACATTTGGAAAACTACCTCTACCTTCCTAAATCAATGTATATTCCAATTCTACGCTTCAGACTAAATCATCATAAGATGCGATTGAAACAGGCCGATATCTAGCAATTCCAAGGAAAGAACGTGGCTGTCAGTTGTGTAACTCACTTGCTGTTGGTGGATAGCTTCACTACTTACTGAAGTGCGAGGCTCTTCATCAACAGCGGGTGCAGCTGATTAATATATAGTTATTATTATGTCTGGCCAAATTTGATAAAATTTAAAAGACTAATGTTAACAAAAAGACAAACGTAGAGAATTGAAAAACCTATCCAAATTTATAAACGTCATCTTAAAAAGTTGCTAATTATGTCCATCAAGACTTTTCTTTTAATATATTATAATCATGTATGTATGTACAGTTTTTATATACTCTATATGAATAAGGGACTATTCTATATACGTGTACACAAATATCAATGCATATAGCCATCTTGTGTCTTTTAATCATATGTTAATATATATATGTATGCTCATGTACCACCGTTGGTGGCGTTAATGAGTGAATAAAATGATGAATAAAATGATGATCATGATGATGATATTACGGTAATACTCTATACTGTAGTGTGGACTCTCAAGAGGAAATACAGTATGGGGTACTCTCTCGGGTATCGGCCAAAAGCCCCCCAGGACAAAAGCCCCTTGGTACCAAAACCCCTCGGCCAAAAAACCCTTTGGACAAAAGCTCCTCGCTAATTTGAGCACCCCTGTCAAAAGACCCTCGATTCGTGTATTTCATAGGAAAAAGTATTTTATATTTTATAAAGTATAATTAACTGACAAAATACTCATCATTGAAAACCCTTATTGGAAAGATTTGTTAAAAGCATGAAACAATTATTGCAAAAGGTTTAATGCTGATTCCGACAATAATGATTACATTCTTGCAGAACCATTATGGCTCAATCATAATTATAAAAGCCCTTGCCATGTTATTAAACATTGGGCGGATAAGGGTTTATTGACAGTAAAGGATTTATGTGATGAACATGGATTTATGCCTTTTGATAAGTTAAAGATAAAATACAAAATAAAAGATATGTCCAAATACAAAAATTTCTCTCACAACGTTTCAAAAGAAGTTTAATCCATCAAAAATATCTTGGACATCAATGTACAACTTCTAAATGCCACTGAAAGACATCATATAACTATCTACTTCACATCTTACCTGATATCATTCATTCCTACAATTAATACATCAATGTTTACCAAAGAAATATATTAAAGCTCTTCAAATGTTCAAGAATATTTTATGACAAGCTGATTTCCAAAAATGATAAACTTGAGATTTGTACTAAATGGGAAATGATATGCAATGATTGTGAATTTGATTGGCACAAAAAATTAATTTCTGTAGACATGGATTGGAAGATGTTAAACTTATTGATTTCAATACAGATTTTTGAAAAGAGTTATTTATATTAAAAAAGAAAGAATTATCGAAAAAGATCCTGATTGACAATGATATGTGTAGTTTTTGCAATGATGTTTCTGAGAGCATTTGTCATGTTTATTGGGAATGTTGTGAAAGCATGAAATTCTGGAATGATCTAGAACTCTAGATTAATAACTATTTACCACGACAAATAAACATTACAAAACATTTGATTTGGTTTGGTCATTGCATAATGATGTATTACTAAATCAATTCATTATCTCTGCCAAACAACATCTCAATTTATGTAATATATAAAAATCAGTTTAAAAATTCATTAATTATAAAAAAGGTATTAAATGAGATATTTTCTGTAGAAAAATTATTTCAAAGAGAAACAATGAAATTGAAAAATTCAATCTTAAATGGAATTCACTCATCCCAATATTTAGCAAATAATTATGATCACATCTTTACAGCAATGTGTCTTCACTTTTCCTGTATCTGTTGCTACCGTATACCTTAAGTTTGTTGTTGACTTTGTAACCATGGGAACAAATAAAAAAATAATAAAATAAAAATAAATAATAGTATTTTAAGTAGGAAAAGGTATTTTATATCTTATAAAGTATAATTAACTTAGACTCACTCTCTCTATGTCCCTGTGTTCACGTATATTCTGCGAAGGAACTACAACCTATATATATATATATCACATGAACGAGACCATAGCATGTGTGTTATTACACGTACAACGTTATCTCCAATCTACGAGGTAGTAATGTGTAATTAAAGAAGGGCGGAGGCTCGTACCCTGTGAACCCCCACCTGGTTAGCTTGTCGTAAGGATTAACCTCGGGCGTTAAGCGTGCGCCGTGTGTCCAGCTGTGACAAAACTGACCAACAGGCAGACACGTTTAAAGGCTGTGCGTGAGTGAGTTTAGTTTTACGCTGCTTTTAGCAATATTCCAGCAATATCACAGCGGAGGACACCAGAAATGGGCTTCACACATTGTACCGATGTAGGGAATCGAACCCGGACCTTCGGCGTGACGAGCGAACACTTTAACAACTAGGCTACTTTGGCATTACTTCAGCCATATAGCGACGAGACCAAGTCTACACACATTAATTACAAAGTTTAAATTAGTTTCTTAAAGCAATATTCTTGGATAAACCTCAGAGTTACTGAATAAATCTCAGTATTATTGTACCTTTACACTGAGAAACAAATTGTCGTCCTGTCTGCCTCATCGCCGATGTGTTTTACATACAGGGTCTATATGGGATCTAAATAATATTCATGTACATGTAGTTTGAATGTTGTGTCTGTATTGTGCACACATGCGTAAAAGTCACGCCCACCTAAGTCATGCTCAATGCTCTTT